CGCTGAATTGCGCAGGCAATTTATGTGCCAAGAGAAATGATGCTCCTGCCAGGAGCCTCACGCTCTTCTTTGCGTTGAGCCGCAGCCCCAAACGCTGAAGGTGGGCGAGGACGACATCTCGATGCCGAACCGCTAACTCCCGAGACTGAGCCAAGATGAGCCAGTCGTCGATGTAGTTTAATATGCGGATGCCCTGGAGCCTCAGCAGGGCCAGAGGTCCATCCATACATTTGGTGAACGTGCGAGGAGAGAGTGCTAGGCCGAACGGAAGAACCCGATACTGGTACGCCGCGTCCCCGAAGACGAACATCAGGAACTTCCTGTGAGAGGGACGGATGGAGATGGGGAAATATGCGTCTCGTAGATCTATCGTGACAAACCAATCCTCGGATTGGATGTGACTGATGATGGCGGGGATGGTGAGCATCCTGAATCTGAATCTCCTCAGAGATTGGTTCAGGGACCGCAGATCTAAAATCGGACGTAATCCTCCGTCCTTCTTGGGAACTATGAAGTACCGGCTGTAGAACCCGGACTCCCTGACTGGCGGGGAAATGAGTTCTATGGCCCCTTTCTCCAGCAGAGAGCGAACTTCTTGTCCCAACACCTGGCTCTGCTCTCTGGGTTGGTGGCCGGTGTTATGCGTAGGTCTCCAGCGGCACCCTGAAGCGGAGGTCTGCCAGGGAAAACCTGCCGATAACCCGCGGTGTGTGAGCCAGAGCACCTCAGGACTGCGGCCCCTCAGGGCAGGCAGAACAGCGCGTGCTGCCTTAGCTGCCACGAGGGAGGGGACCTCGGTCGCCTTCTCTCGGGGGGGGGGGGCTTCTCAGGACTTCTTCCCCCGACCCCGGCGAGACTGAAGAACGGTCCTCAGATCCGTTGTCTCGGGGGGCTGTGGCCGAGAGCGCCGCCTCGAGTCCCGGGTGCACTGAGGGGGGCCTCGAGAAGCGACACTCTGCCTCTGGCTCTGGCGGTAGGAGCTGGACGACGGCTGGGACCGTCTCTCTGCAGCCGCCGCCATCCTGGACCCCCATGACCGGAGCCGCCGTGCCGCCTCAGCGACCGCCGGGCCCGAGCAACGGGGAGAACGCATCCGGCCGTCTCCGGAAGAAAAGAGCCGCACGGGACCTCAGCACACTCAGGGGCAGAGCCTCGCAATGGCCGCAAGAAGCCCCCTCAAGAGCTGCCTGGGCATGCGGCATCCCCAGACAGGAAACACACAGGGCATGAGTGTCCCCAGCCGTGATGTAGCGTGGGCATGGAAAGACACACTGCCTGAACTGCTCACCAGCCATTTCCTCTGCTTCTCCTTCCAGGTAACGTCTTGTGGTAGCTTTCTTCTGCGTAGTCTCAAACATACCAGAGTGCCTGCTGAATAGAAAAAAGCTAATGTGTCCGGTGTACCGGCATGCTTATATACGCCTCCAGTTACGCCGTCACAAGCTACCGATGCAGTTTGAGTTCCCTCGAAGGGGAACACCAGTGTTATTAATCGCATAGCAGCTGGACTGGGAGGGTAACCAGCTTTACACTGTCTGTCTGAAGCCAGATGAAACTCATCAGTTAGCTAAACTTCAAATGTGCCTTCAGGATGTTAAAACCTGGATGACCTGTAATTTTCTAATGTTAAACTCAGAGAAAACTGAAGTTATTGTTCTGGGGCCTAAGCACCTCCGTGACGCATTATCTAAAGATACAGTTTCTCTTGATGGCATCGCCCTGGCCTCCAGCACCACTGTGAGGAATCTTGGAGTTATCTTTGATCAGGACATGTCATTTAAGTCTCACATTAAGCAAATTTCAAGGACCGCCTTTTTTCACCTACATAATATTGCGAAAATCAGGAACATCCTGTCTAAAAATGATGCAGAAAAATTTGTCCATGCATTTGTTACTTCCAGGCTGGATTACTGCAATTCCCTATTATCAGGCTGCTCGAAAAAGTGCTTTAAGACTCTTCCTCAGCTGATCCAGAATGCTGCAGCACGTGTTCTGACAGGAACCAGGAAAAGAGATCATATTTCTCTTGTCTTAGCTTCTCTGCATTGGCTTCCAGTAAAATCCAGAATAGAATTTAAAATCCTTCTTCTTACCTACAAAGCTCTTAATGGTCAGGCACCATCTTATCTTAAAGAGCTCATAGTACTTTACTACCCCACCAGAGCACTGCGCTCCCAGAATGCAGGGTTACTTGTGGTTCCTAGAGTCTCCAAAAGTAGACTAGGAGCCAGAGCGTTCAAGCTATTGTAGTGGGACAACGGTGTGGATTTGTGCATTTTATATTAAATAAATTTGGAGCTACTCCAAATTCCTCTTTTCCTCTCCCAGAGAGGAGCAGGGGGGTTAAAGATCAGCTTCAACAGACTGCTAAAGAGACCCCAACGGAAGGGCGGTGGAAAAGTTGCTTTCTCTAAGTGCTATCCCTGACCATAAAACTGGCACCTTTTTGATCTACGAAGCTGATAAAGCGGTGCCTGACTGTTAAACTGACAAAGGGACATAAACCAGCGATTAGCATTTCCCTGAACAGAATCTCCTTGGAAAGGCAGGAAATCCTAAAGCTTTTCTCATGTAACCTGAGCTCCCCCAAGTGGACGAAATAAGTATTACATACCATCGTCGGAAATGCCGTTAATGTATAAATGTCACCCACTTATCCTGACCAATAATGTGACAATTGTTTCCTGTTACCAAATGCTTAACTTAGAACGGTACAACCGTTTGACCATTGAGGTTCGATTGTGGACATTTTTTTATTATAGTACACGCAAAAAGATTTCTTTTCTTTAGACATTAAGTTTAGAAAGGCAGTCCCTCGGAAAACCTGAAACTCCCTCTGGGGAACCACGCCCCAGGCAACAAAAGAGCGACACGCGACGTCGTTCGCTCTCTCTGCTCTTCCCCTCGTGCCTCTCCAGGCAACGCCCTAAGAGTTCGGCCAGCGCAACAGGCCTTTGTTCACTTGAAGCTACACACGCGAAGTGCCGCGACATCAATCTGCCCCTCAGTTTGTTTTATTTTCTTTCTTTCTTTTGTTTTGTTAAAGTTATCAGTCCGTTAAGTTACAAATTCAGGAACGACCAAGTTCCCTTTTAAGCTTGTTCGTCGAGCCAACTTCACCGAGGTCAGACCAAGCCACGTGGTCCCGCCAGCGGCAACGAAGGAAACCTGAAAACAGCCGAATTGCCTGAGGGAGGACGGCATTTTCTTCAGACACGGAGAACCCCGGAGAATCACTAGCAAAAAGCCAGGATCGGCAGCTAGTGTGGGACCCGTGCAACAGGCCAAAGCAGGCCGTCGACAAGTCATAAGACCAACAAAACATTCTGTGATCAGGGATGTCCCGTAATGTTAATATTTCCTTTTAACTCCTAAACTCATAACTTACTTTCATTAGTTCTCCTCTGCCGTATGAGTCAAATGCTTCCCACAATCGAACCTCCATTTCTCATTGTTCAGCCATTGTTTATTTTCCCTGTATTTAACCACCCGTTTATATCGCTTTAGTTATTAATAAATTCACTGTAATACGATCAAGAACTGTGTGTGTTGCCTATTTCCACGTCCCTGCCAAGAGAATTGACCCTTTAGATATGAGACTGACTGATTGATTTAAGATAATTAAATGATTATTAACTAACTGATCACTAGTAATAATTGTATAATTATTAAAACTACCTAGAGGTCCGGAGACTCTAGGATTATAACAACTCCTGTGGTGCCCTTTTTAACGAGAGCTTTTATTGATTTTTGATATTTTCTGAATATTAAAATTCATAACTGGGTATTAATTCTCATGAATTTATTAAAATTCATAGCTAATTTTTAGCCATGCTACACTATCAAGCTCCTCTCCTGTGGAACCAGGTTCCAGTTTGGGTTCAGGAGGCAGACACCATCTCCACATTTAAGAGTAGGCTTAAGACTTTCCTCTTTGATAAAGCTTATAGTTAGGGCTGGCTCAGGTGAGTCCTGAACCATCCCTTAGTTATGCTGCTTTAGGCCTAGACTGCTGGGGGACTTCCCATGATGCACTGAGCTCCTTTCTGTTCTTTCTCTGATGGCCGCCCACCCTGAGCCATGGTTCTGCTCGAGGTTTCTGCCTCTTAAAAGGAAGTTTTTCCTTGCCTCTGTCGCCTAGTGCTTGCTCTTGGTGGGAACTGTTGGGCTTCTGTAAATAACATCACAGAGTACGGTCTAGACCTGCTCTTTTATGAAAAGCGCTGTGAGATAACTGTTGTTGTGATTTGGCGCTATATAAATAAAATTTAATTTAATTGAATAGTTACAGTCGGCGTGTCAGAAACGATTAAACCAGAGGGGATTTGTGAATAAAGGTGAGCTGAATGTATCCAACACACAGTTGCAGGTCCTCGTTGTAGCCAGTTATGTAGTATTAGATTAATTCAACTATTCAACAAGACTAGGAGCCAAAGCATTCAGCTATCAAGCTCCTCTCCTGTGGAACCAGGTTCCAGTTTGGGTTCAGGAGGCAGACACCATCTCCACATTTAAGAGTAGGCTTAAGACTTTCCTCTTTGATAAAGCTTATAGTTAGGGCTGGCTCAGGTTAGTCCTGAACCATCCCTTAGTTATGCTGCTATAGGCCTGGACTGCTGGGGGATTTCCTATGATGCACTGAGCTCCTCTCTCCTCTACTTTCTCTCCCTCTGTATGCAACCTCATCCCATTATTGCATGTTACTAACACAACTTCTCCCCTTTCTGGTAGTCTTGTGCTTTCTCGTCTCTCTCCTCTCTCCTCGAGGTTTCTGCCTCTTAAAGGAAGTTTTTCCTTGCCTCTGTCGCCTAGTGCTGCTCTTGGTGGGAACTGTTGGGCTTCTGTAAATAGCATCATAGAGTACGGTCTAGACCTGCTCTTTTATGAAAAGTAATGTGAGATAACTGTTGTTGTGATTTGGCACCATATAAATAAAATTTAATTGAATTTAATTGAATTGAAACAACAGAGACCAACCAATAAACAACATTACTGCATCGTGGTATACATGTTGTGCTTTTTTATTGGTTATTTTTTAACCTTATAAATGGGTTCTGAACATACTCTGCTCTTTTGGGCAGTAGGCATCAATGCTCCACTGAGCTCGACTAATGTTGAGTTCATTCCACTTTGTCTCCATGTTTTGTATTTGTTCCGTTAAGTTGTTGATATGTGTCTCCATATCCTGGTTTGTGATGTCAAGTTGTGGTTTTCTGCAGTCAGCTTGGCGTTGTGTTCAGAAATGACAGAGGTAACTACAATGGCAGACAGAGGAAGGTGTTGGGTTTTGACACTTTGTTCAAAGGCAAGATTATTAAAAAAACACATTTTAAAACATCACAAATAAAGAAGTGCTTTGTGATCATAAAAGACATTAAAGGAAAGGTTCACACGTTTCCAATCCATCTTAAAATGATGAACAATGAAACTGTGTTTTCTTGCTGTAATTATTCCTCCTGTTCATACTGAATCTGTTTCAGTGTACATATAAGCATCTGACTATTGTTTTAAAACAGACAAAAAATATGAACCCATCTTAAAAACTAAAACAACAACACTTAGATTTGAACTGACATTCACATAGAAGGTACTCACAGTGTATTTGAAGGGCCATAATCACTGACAGAATCACCCAGCACACTGCCACTGGTGGAAAAGACGGAGTGAAGGAGAGGAACTTCTGATCTGACAGAAAAATAAGAATTCAGATGTAACACTTAAACAACATGATATAACGTAGTAAAATGTGTATGTATGTGTGTAGAACAAGAGGAACCATTAAACATTTACATTTTAATATTTCATCACTATCACATTTTTTAACATCATGGTTGATAAATGAATCTTCTGCTTAACAATATTACATTTATGATATATATGATGTTCATAATGCACCCAAAGTGACCATTCTATCCACGGTACCTGCTGCTGCATTAACATAGTCAGCTTCTTCCTCGATTACCTCTGAGAGAGGTACAGATCATGGGAGTTCAGTAGTCGAGGCAGGAGGAGATAAAGGCATGGCTAAGTTTCTCCTGATCTGTGGCTGAAATAAAAAACTTAACCTTGGCTATATTTGATGAAAACATAACTGAACAACTTTCTTTACAGGGGTTCAAAACACAAGCCCTGGTCACAAACTACCCCTATTCCTGGCTGAGGGCTTAGCAGAAGTTCTTATTTCCCCTAGGTTTGCCATGATTTGAGTTCATCGAGCTGGGGGACAGAATACTGTGACATTAGATTTATTTGTTGGAAGTTGTGTGGCATCCAGTTGTTTTAACTCAGGTATTTGTGAAGGGTTTCGATACTAGACTGGTCACCAGGTCTGATTGGGATACAGAGCTGTGGGTCACTGGCGTAACAGTGGAATTGTCATGTTGAGTTAAGGTCATGTTTTCAGTTTCCTCATCTGTAGCCACTTCCTGTTTTTTGTGGGTTACTCATCTTGTGTCTCATTTCAGGGTATAAACTCACTACTCGCTGATGACATCTTGTTCCCTAGTGACAGAGTTCCAGCTGTTTTCTGTTGTTTTTCTTCTGAGAGTTTTGACCTTTGCCCTGTCCTTACACCCTGAGTTCTGTTTAGTGTTTTGGTAGAGCGTTTTACAGACAAAGTTACCCAAAACGTTTTGTTGCAGTTATTGCTGACATACTCTGCATAGACTACCTGTTTTTTAAACAATTTAATTATTTTATTGGAATTTCTTTTGAGGACCTCATAAAATGTTCTTACCTTATGGCTTCAGAGTCAATGTTCTACAGCCATCGATTGTACATTTAATGCCACTGAAAGTATGTATGTGCTATACTGTATATGTTGAATAAATGTTGTATGGAAAAACCTTTGTGATTGCTCTTCACTTGCATGACACAGTGGGAGTGTTATATGTTATACACACTGGAATGTGTATGGAGAAGAAAGATTCTCACAGTATAAAGCACACTGGTAAATCCTTCTTTTGGCCAGATGGTGACAATAGGACATTTCTGAGGCGTGCTTGTTGTCAGAGCTGCTGAGAAGCTGACAGCAGTATTAGAACTAGGTTAGAACAGAAGGGCATGCAGGTTTAACTCTGCGCTGAGGGTGAATGATGAAGATGATAACTAGGCTGCAAATAAGACATAAATATCAAAAAACAAATGAAATGAACAACAATAAATACATCTGTATCAGTAATCTGGATTCAAAACGTTTAATAAAGACACAGTACAGGCCTTCATTTAATTCCTGCCACCTGCTGGTAGAAAGGGGGAACAGCTTGGTTCAATCAGTTTCGACATTGTAAAAGCAATTGCAAAGCATCACAGGCAGATGACAATCTGACAATGTTTCAGTGTATTAGAAAGTATCCTACTCCTTTCCTTATGGAAAAAGCATACAGTTCAGCAGTGTAAGAAGATGCTACAGACAAACAGCATGGGTTAATGAGGAGGCAACCTATCACAACAACTCAGCATTAACTTCTAAACAACAACATTTCCCTTACCAGATAATGAATTTGGGCATTTTAAAATCCTTTGGTGCTTAGGTGTAATCAAAAATCAGAAGCATCATACATTGAGGAAACCACCCCAAAAATGTACAAAATACTAAAAGTAGAATTGTTACCAGTTGCCTTCAGTGCTTTTCTGTTCATCTTGAACAGATGTTTAAATCCTGCTGCAGTCCTGTGTGAGGGCTTTAAGGAAAATCTGAACTGTAAACTGGGGGACTTACTGTAATACTGTGTTACTGAGAAGAGAAGTCAGACACAAGTTCCATATCTTACGACACTGACATTTCACAAGCTTCCTTTTTGTTCTTTTCTGACAAAGCTAAAGACACAACAAAGAAAAACATGAAATTCCTCTTAGTAAAACACACAAAATGATACTTCCCTAATAACTGAGACTTACTGAAGGACTGTTTCACATACTCACAACAAAATGTGCTGCAGTGAGTGTGTTCTGGTGTTTGATCCACATCCATCAACCTATGGATGCTTTTTCATTTCCCCAGTACCTCCAGGCAGAGATTTAGGGGAATCACGTTTGCTGACGGCTCTTTCAGAGGTGTATCAAGCAGGCAGCACTTTCAAAGTATTTTTTAACTTTTATTTTTTGATGCTATCAAATCACCATAATCTGTCCACAGGCCAGATCTTACTGCTGGGGGGCAGTTTTGGCGAGGGTCCATAATCACAGCGAGAATAAACATGTTTCCCTTCCTTGTCAATGTTTGTATAAACTCTACCTAAAGAGGGCGGCACGGTGGTGCAGTGGTTAGCACTGTCGCCTCACAGCAAGAAGGTTGTGGGTTGTTGTTCCAGGCCTTTCTGTGTGGAGTTTGCATGAGTTCTCTCCGGATGCTCCGGCTTCCTCCCACCATCCAAAGACATGTGGCCTGGGTTGAATGGTGACCCTAAATTGTCCTAAGGTGTGAGTCTGGGTTGTTTGGCCCTGTGATAGACTGGCGACATGTCCAGGGTGTACCCTGCCTTTCGCCCGATGTAAGCTGGGATTGTACGCAGGGTAAGCGGTTGACGATGGATGGATCCACTTAAAGAGACCTCATTTCTTGACTACTCTCTGAGACAGTGGATAGGTGACACAGAACAAAAGGTCACTGTATCTACTACGGTGAAATACTATTTTTATTTTTATGGTCTTTTACTGTTGCTATTTGACAGTTTTTTACCGCAAATTCTACAAACATTTTTTACAGTGCAGCGTGAGGCCGGCCGAACACCAACCAACCGGAGAAACAACAAGCAGTAAGGAACCAACGGCATTCTGTGGTTGAGTAGATGTCCAATAGTCTTTTAATCCGTTAGTTTAATCCTAGCCAAATTTAACCTAGTTATTATCGTAACATACGCTTATTAGTTATCACAATAAAACTGTCACACACGCACTGACAATGTGCGCACATACACACTGAAAATGTGCTGTTCTGTATTAGTTACCATGGCCATCTACCCTGGTAAGAAGTTAACTGGTACTGAAAACCCAGGGTTAACCCCGAAGTTATCAGGGTAAGCTCAAATCCTGCTTTGTGGTACAGGCCCCTGGTCTGGCTTGAACAAAACTGTTCTAAAAAAAATAGGCCTCTGTAGATTCAGAGTGCTTTTTTAGCAGGAAAAGCGATGAGAGCAGCTGCAGTGCAATAGAGTGAAGCAGGTACAGAATGTTAGTGTTGTAGTCAAGACCAAGACCAGAGTTTATCAAGACCGAGACAAGACCAAGACTTTTAGGGGCTCAGACCAAGTCGAGACCAAGACCGAGGGAGAGCGAGACCGAGTCCAGACCATTTCCCCACATTACACACACACAATAAAATGGAATGGAACGAGATCATAGGTACTTCTCAAATTGATGGAACTGAAAGATCCACATTCCCTTTAAAACACCCACATACAAACACTAAGAGCTGAAATCAACACAAGCGTCTTTATTCAACACTCCTTTTCCATGTTTACGATCGCAGGGAGGGGGGACAGTCATTAATGGGAACAACACATTTTTCATTAGGGTTATTGGTTGCATTTGAAGCAATAAGTTTTACATCCAGTCAAAGGAAGTATGTTAACAAATAAATTAGACAATGCAAAAGCATTGTATTGATACTCCCAAAGTTATGGTCTTCACTGGTCTTGAAATATAATCCCGAGTCCTCAATGTCCAAGACCAAGAAAGACCAAGTACTAATGCGGTCGAATCCGAGACGAGACCAAGACCATCAAAAAGTGGTCTTAAGACTGGTCTCGAGTACTACAACACTACAGAAAGTGATGGTTACAAACTGCAACTTAACTCATTGGCAAAGGCATATAACAGCAGGGAGGTAATTTTAGTCAATACAAACAACTTGTGATTTCATTGAGGCATAGGTGATCAATAATGTGATAGTGGTATTTTCTTTGTTTTGTGACCAAATAAGGTGATCTGTATTCAGACAAACTGGGGTCCTCCCACAGAACAATTTGAGCATTAATCACTTACTGAATTCCATCATTTCAGACAGCGGGTAACAAAATATACATTCAAAATATAAAAATTTAACAAAGTGCAGGAATGCATTCATTCAATACTTTATTCACAACAACAAGACATTATATTACAGTACAATCATAAAAATTATACTGATTTGTGAATAGTGACACCCATATAAGCTATCTCAAGCTTGTATCTAAGGGCCCAGAAAGTAAGGAAATAATTTAACATATATTTAAACTATTAAGATATTATCTAAATATATACTACAATTAAGTATTCCAAAAATGTACCAACATAATACCCTAAAAACGAAGCTACCGTAATCCTAGTGGTCCCTAAACAAACAGACAAGAATATAAAAATTTGTATCAGTCCATCATTAATTAGGTAGGTAAACGTACATTGAATAGAAACTCTGATAAATAAGATTTGCAGTACATTTTAAACAGATTCCACAATCAAAAGACAAATCATCATCTAAATGTTGTCCCCAGCCATTAAGTAATTGTAGCTTGAACATCTATTTCTAGTAGCTGCCGTCTTAAGGTCCTTTTGTAGTATTTTTATAGTATAATCAATTTCATTCCATAGCTGTGGACCTCTGCAAACCACACTGAAGCTCGTACATTTACGTTTACGTTTTTTACCCGTTATAAGATCCTTTTTCCTTGTCTTAGATGTATGCGAAGTACATTATACATTATTATTACTGTTTTGTGTCTTTTATTTGAGGAAGCAACCTCTTTAAATGTGCATGTGGCATCTATTGATGTCAATGATGTGTTCTCATTTCAAGAATAAATCAAAATAATAATTTGAGAAAAAAGAAATGTGAAAGTCAAAGAGTGAGTGAAAAGGAGTGCGGTCCCTAAACAAAGTGTGAACAGGTGAACGAGGAGAGATGAAAGGTGAAAGCAAGAACCAATCAGTGATATGAAAAGAAGGAAAGAAAGTGAGGATGTGAGGATAGGTGGAAGGGGTAAATAAAAATGGGAATAAACTGGAGATCTTTACTGCACAAATCATAAGCACTGCATCTCTAACAAAGCAGAAGAAAAGCACATTCAGTGACTGTATTTAAAATATAAATAAAAATAATCCATTATTTAACTGCTCATATACATTAGATCTGAGTGTCTGTTTTTCTGCAGTGAAACACAAAAGCAATACACAAACAGGTTTATAATCTTTTTTACTACTAATAAGTTATTTGCTTGTTTCTATTAAAATGTAAAAATATTTTAAATAAATTGTGTTTTGAAAAACAAGAGTTAAAAAAGTCTTTGTACTTTAATATTTATAAGCCGGTTGATTTTGTCTTCCATGTAATGAATCTTTACAGAGTCCCCAGTAACCTTCTCAAGTATGACTGCAGTGTTTAAAGAGATAAAGCCTTCTTTTTGCAGATCCATCTGTTTCTGTCACCACAGCTCACTGATTTCCATCCTTCTCTCTGGACAGAAATTACACACTGACCGTTGGTAGCAGGTTGTTGTATCCAGGAGCTGAGGGAAGAACATGATGTTTAGATGCAGGCTGATAGATTTTATGCTTCAAAATGTTTATGAATGTGTCTCTTACTTTTCAGTCAGATCACTTCCATCGACCCACTTCCATTTCCCATCTTCAGCTCTCAGACCAATCCAGTATCCCTTGGTTCCTGAACTGCCCCAACTTTTATCATTGATGAATGTCTGACAACAGAGAGACAGTTATCAGATATTTAAACACTATACTTAAATTAACACACTGTGGCCTACAGACTCAGTGTGAAAATACATTTTCATTGAATGTAGGCTGTCATAAATTTCTCATTACCTTCTCTGTTTGATCAGCTATAACAACCAAATCTGAAATCTTTCCTCTGCAGTTTTCTCGAGCTTCTTCCCAGGTTTTCTGACCAGAAACATCAGGGTCATTAATCCCATAGCAGCTGGACTGGGAGTGTAACCAGCCATCCTGACAAGCTTTACACTGTCTGTCTGAAACAACAGAGACCAACCAATAAATATTGTTACTGCATTATGTTATTAGTATTATTTTTTACCTTAATAACAGGATCTGAACATACTTTGGTTTTGTGGTTTTGGGCAGTAGGCATCAATGCTCCACTGAGCTCGACTGACGTTGAGCTCATTCCAATTTGTCTCCATGTTTCGTATTTGTTCTGTTAAGTTGTTCCTCTGTGACTCCAGCTGCTGGTTTTGTGATGTCAGGTTCTGGTTTTCTGCAGTCAGTTTTACAATCTTACTTTCTAAGACAGTATAGGCTTGTGTCAGATTGTGAAACTGGACGGACAGATTGTTGTGGATCCTCAAGTTTTCATCTTCTGAGAGTTTGCAGAGATGTTGCACTGTACATTACAATGGACAGAATGTGGAAGAAATGGTTGCACATTGTTGAAAATAACAATTGCATAACAAGAACTGTCCTATTACTTACTTTGGCTACGTTCAGACTGCAGGTCTTAACGCTCAATTCCGATTTTTTTCCCAGATCTGATTTTTTTTGTTTGACAGTTCACATTATAGTTTAAATGTGGCCCGCATCGAACTCCAGTCTGAATTGCCTGAAAGTGACCCGCATGCGCAGAAAAATGACAAGACGTCACAAGCAGCACGCTGTTGCAGGCTACAGAAGTAAACACGGAGCAACAGGGGTTAGCTCAGGTTAGCTCGCGGGAGACTCCAGTTTATTATTGTTTATTATTAGAGAGCCACATGTTTGATAAAGGCTTTTTGTGGAGCTTTTCGTTCCACGCG